AAGGGAAAGATAAGTAGATATCGTCTACTGGCGACGGGTACTAATTGGGGGAACCCTAAGATCAACCAGTTGGCGTATAACATCCTGAAGATGTCTTTCCTGAACTCTCTGACGTGCTCGGAGTTCCTTAACTTCGGCTCAGGATACAACTAGCTATTGCTACAGAGTCTCATTGGTCCTCCTTGTCCTATTCATGGCTTCTTCCAGTTGGCAGATACGGACAGCGTTAAGGTTGGAGTTGGCATCAATTTCCACGAATCTGCCAATGGCCGGTTGACCTTGTTCGGTGTTCCTGGCAATCCTACGAACCATGATGGGCAAGACTCGGTCCGCTGAATCCCCCTCACTGATATTGTAGAAGCTTTGGTCTCCGTTGAAAGGTAAAGGCTGACCCTAATCATTTCTCCATCGGTCCAAGGTTATTGCCCACATGGGGGTGGGACCTTGAAATACCGGACGGGGATTAGGGTTTAGAGCTACTGGGGGTAGGTTTTTGACTTCTGGTTCAGAGTCGAAGGTATCCGAAAACCCTTTAGCACGGTGATCATCCTCAGGCGGTTGATAATCTTCTGACTCCTCATCGTGCCATCCCCCATTGCCTTGGTTCGGATAATACGGATCGTCGGATAGGTGGAAGCCAGCCATGCTATCTACGCGAGAATGGGGAAAGAAAGGTTAATAGACGTACTAATCTAGGATACTTATAAGATGATTGTTACTATCCGACCCAATACTTGCATATTGCATACCAATTACATGTAGCCGAAGCAGGATAGACCTTCGAATAAGAGACCCTCACTACTAGAAAACTGCCTTTTAATGACGCGAAAACAATGACACGTGCTGCTAGAGGACGCGCATTTGTATGTGCCCTAAAAAATAATGTTAGATTTGCAAAATTTGAAGGATAGAAGGCACGCATTTTGGCGTGCCCTAAAATTAATGTCCAACAAAAAAAAACTACAAATACGGAGGGCGCTTATGTTAAATGTGTATCATCTAGAAATGTCGCTTTATAATCTTTTTATTCGACGCGCGTTTTTAAGGGGGGGAAATGAAATCTCTAAATTTCTAAAAGTTTTAAGTGCCCGCTTCTCCACTCTATCCTCTTGATCTCCTTCCATTCTCTCCCTCTATTCACTCTGCAACCCTAAGCCATCTCGATCTTCCTTCTATATAGGACGTGCTAGGGTTTTATTTATTTTAAGCTTAACTTCTCCTGATTTAATCTCTCTCTCTCTCTCTCTCTCTCTCTCTCTCTCTCTACTGCTCGACAACCACCCACCACCCTTCGTCTTCTCTCCGGTTCACCAACGTCTTCAATAAATCCCCAATATACCATCGACAAAACATACCACAAGATCACCACCCGTATTTCGCACCAACATCGTTGGTTACTAACACTGCGATTGGTATAAAAACCCTAGAAACAGCAGGCCACCCTTTTCCGCCATCCATGTCCCTCCTTTCTGTCTATCTCTAACAGACAACTGCAACATCGCATTCATGGTCGGCGCAGGCTACTTATGAGTTGGAATAAATTAGTAGGTAGAAAGCAACGCCTCTTTTACCTTTATTCCTCTATCTCAAGTGGCGATACAATGAAGCACGGGTTTAAGAAATTGGAGGAGGGATTGAGAGAGTTTGTCGCTTCCTCTGGTTTCTCTTTTGATTCTGGTAATGTTTATATTCGGTTTCTATTTCTTTAGAATTCTTTTTCACATATTTTTTCCCATATGATTTTATGAGTTCAGATTTTTTCCATATGATTTTGATCTTAGTTTGAGATTTAGAGTTCTCAATCTTTGGTTTCTCCTTTATCCACCAGTTCATGTGCCCGATTCGGTTAATAGTTATGCTGGAATTTGATCAATTTCTTTGAAATTTAGGGTGAATTAGGTTAGGGAATGAATGGGAAACACTATAAATGGTTTGACTAAGTTGACGTCTTCTTCTCCCGTATCAACTTGACACCTCAACTCTTCTTTTGCACTGATCTGCAATCTATACTAGGTTTGATTTTTTTTATTTGCAGGTTTTGTTAGTAGACCATATCTACTATTACTCAAATTAAACATGTCATATTTTTTTTATTACAGAAGGTGGTTTGACAAATGGTTGTTGAAGGAGCACATAAGTTCAGAGCCACACAACCTCAGCTTGGTTTTTTGTTCTTCTTTTGTTCTTTTGCTCCTGAGGCTTGATTTGATTGAAGCTTTGTGCTCTACATTCTAAGAATGCTCTTGCATGGATTGATCTTTCTCCTTCCTAGTTTGTAGATGTTTCTGTATTTTCCATGAACTGTTTTAGTGAACTTTTTTTTTATTGTGTGGTAAAAGGTAAGTAGAAGCCTCGTACCAATTTCTCTTTCACATGAGACCTTTTGATAGAAGGAGATTTATTGGGCCCATAGGATTTATATTTTTTTTTAATTTCTTCAATAATCTAGTTTGGATGACTTGATAATTGTACAAATTTCTTCATGGCACTTTTTTCAGAAAGAACAACACATGGTTGACACTTGCAGAGTATTAGTATCTTTTCATGTCTTTAAATTCTTTTTTCTTTTTCTTTGTTTATATGATGACCAACTTTGATTTCATGTTCCATAAGTGGGTTCTAGTTTCATCTATGTCTTTGCTAGGTGCCAAATACTCTCTCTCTCTCTCTCTCTATATATATATATATATATATATATATATATATAATACATGCACATCCTGGTGACTCTTTTACTTTTTCTTTGATTACATATTATGATCAGATTCTCATTTTAGACATTACCAGTTTGTTGTCTTTTCATCATGATAAACATGTTTTTATCCGATTCCAGCCATTCCTGATGTGTTCCCACCCTTGGCTTTTCTGTGAATCCTTGTTGTGGTAAAAGATGAAAGGAGCTCTATATTTTGATCCATCTTTGCAGAAACAACCATTTCCTTGCAGCTCCATTAGTAATATATTGTCTCTTTTAAATCTTAATCCTTTGTATGATCGTCTCTCTTTCTTCCCAAAATAATTAGTTTACCTATCATCGTATTGACGACCCCATACCAATTAGGTAATCAGATCTTTTAACTAGACAAGGATGTTTGCGTTTGATTAAACGCACAACACGACTCAATGACACCAGAAACGTTGATCCAGTTGCCGCACGACCTCCAAAAAAAAATTCGGTTCTAAAAGCGCACCTATGTTTCCACTTTGTACTTTTGATATCTATGATTAGTATATGTGGTCTTTGTGTTGAACCAATTAGGCTGATATTTAGCATCATATCAGTTACATATGATAATTTAAGTTTGAATAGTATCATGCCTTGAATTCTTCCTTAATGTGTTTTTGACTATGTAGGTTTGTTGGGTGCAAAATACCATGGTCCAAGAATCATCCCGATGACTGTTTTCCTGATCTTCCTTCACATCTTATGAACATTTTTGCTTTTAAACATTATTAGTATTTTGTATTTCTATCATGATGCAGAATTTTTTTGTCTTCTTCTTTTGCTGATAGGTCTACAAAAGCATGCTCCTTGATTGGATTTTTTTCTTTCCAGGTTTGTTTCCATTTATGGCTCTTATTTATGCTCATATTTTGCTGTATGAAATGAAAACACCATACTTACCACCCTAAATTAGTCATCACAACACACCCGCAAATCAAAAATGAAACCCACTTCTATCACTCCTCGTTCCCCTTTTCCCACTCAACTTTTTATTTCATCTAGTTCTAATTTTTTTTTTTTTTTTTTTTTTGCTTTTATTCAGGCTGCATTTGTTCAAGTACCTGATTCTGATAGGCTAGGTTCTTTCTTAGACTCGTATGCCATGGGTACAAGAGTAATTAAAGGTGATTGTTTTTTCGAATTATAGGGTTTCCTTTTTAAGATACACAATTACAAATCTCATATTATTATTACTATTTTCAGATATGGAGGACTTATTATGTTCGAATTTGGACCCAAGCTAATTCTAAAATTAATTGTGTTGTTCTTTTGATCTGGAAGTTTTTGAAATTCAAACATAATTTTTTGTGGTTTTTCTTTAATTCTCCAAAATCTTTAATTATTTTTTCAAATTTCTGTGGAAGACTGTTTGTTTTGTCTTATAAACTTTTAACTTCATCTGCAGGTTCTGTGTGGTTTGCTTCAGAAATGAAAGCTTTGAGTAATGACTATGAGTAGTTTATGTCATTCCTTCCTAGCCATATATATTCTAGCAAAGTCGGTATGCATTATTTAAGCCAAATAATTATGCTTGGAAGAAGATCCCAGCATGCATTTTAATGCCATGGTGAAGCTGAATATAAATAATATAAATTTTTTTATTTTACTTTACTTATTCTAGTTATTTATTTTTGATTATGAATTTGGATGTGATTACATGGTAAGGCATTAGTAATAACTAAAATGAAGCAAGGAAAAAAGCTAAACAACCTAAAATAGGGATCCATCCATGAACCAGACAGTGTAAAGCTCATTATACTCTTCTCTGATGGCTTCCGCTCTTTCAACAACTTCAGCCTGATAGGGATGGATGTATGTGTAATGTGTTTGTTATATTCAACAACATAGGAGTGTCTATTCTGAAATTCAAAACTTAGGATAGGAACATATAGATACCTTTATTGGACTTCCTGTAGATAATTGAGCTCAGATTCAGACCATAAGAGTGGTGATTCAACAGCTAGCTGTCCCTTTCCACATTGACGATCAAGCTCTTTTATATATGGGTACCAGAAAGACTATCTTATAGGAAGCAAGGGGTCTTTCATATCAACATGAATAGTACCATGTTCCAATCATCCATACAGATATAAGAACTAGCAACATTCTACTTGATAGTGAATTGCAGCAAAAAATAGCAAATTTTGGGTTTATAAGACTGCTACCAGAAGATAACACTCATCTTAGCACAAAATTCTCAGGGTCTTTGTAGGTTTATAAGTACATATAACTTAACTACTAACTCAATTTGATTAAAGTAAATTTTCAATAACCAATGTTAAATCTTTGCAGGAATAGTGGTTATGTAGCACCTGAATATGCAATTTATGGGCAATTATTTGAGAAAGTTGATACATACAGCTTTGGTGTGGTGGTCCTAGAAATCATTAGTGGAAAGATATACAAGGATGTTGACTACCAATTAGTAACTCAAAATCTCCTTGATCAGGTAAGTATCTCATAATTAAGGGTTGGTTTATTCAACCCATTCTTTTCATTTATGGTTTTAATGATGAAGGTATCTTAAACACTTAATGATTTATTTTGTATTAATACCTTATGTATACATATGCAGGAATGGGAAGGGTTAATTGAATTGATAGGAACTGAATCAAGTGCTGTAGGGGGTCTTGAATTTTTACACAAGTAAGTTATGGTTTGCTTTTTGTTGGTTTATAAGAAAGGGGCTAGGGGTAAAATAGTCATTTTACTAACGGTGTGAGTAAGAGGAACCAAAATCACAACAAAGTGAAACAACAAGGACTATAAGGTCAATTAAAGCCTTGCCTTTTGAAGGATCAAAGTCTTCAGTTGAACCAACTAAAATTGTTAGTCCCTGAATATACCTTTCTTTTTTCTTTTCGTCCCTACAGTTTCCTTTTTTCATATTTGGCCTCTTCTCCAACAAAAATGACTATTTTTGGGTCCAAAGTGGAAAAAATCAGCTATACTCAAGGACCAAAACCTTTACAAGAACCTCAAAAACAAGGACCAAAATTGAAACACACTTTTTATTACAAGGGTAAACATGTCATTTTCTAATCCAAACTTTTTTCCTTAATGTAAATATAAAAATATATATTTTGCGCTCCCTGAAACAAACCTCAACAAGATGAAGATTGGAAGCATGGTTGAGGACAAAAGCAAACTCACAATTGTATTGTCTCATACTTTTCTCAAAAGCTTCTTTAATGCTCACAACCTGCATGTTAATCAATTTTTATAGCATGCTCACAACGTATCTAGAAGTTTTGGAGGAAACTAGACACAAGCAAAAATCAAACACGCGGAGAGTTGTTGGCAGATAGTAAGCTAGATAATGCAATTGTATATAAATTATGTTTCTCTTGAGTTCATTTTTTTATAACGTTTACTCACTATTGGAATAGACATATTAGTGAAATGAATTATCTTTGTTATTTATGGTATTTTATTTGTATGATATTAAATTTTATGCAATGGATTGTATTTTTTGTATATGATATTTATTTTCTACTATAAGACATTAAATACAAATTTAATTTGAAAATTAGTTAATCTGAAAAATAATGTTTTTTAAACATTTGAAATTATGATACGCAAAAATGTGTGTCATCTTCATTTATGACATTACCTTTCTTAACAGAGGCTTTCTTGATACGCATTGTCTGTCATTAACACACGCGTCGTAAGGTTACGACACGCTAATGCGTGTCGTCTCCCTTTATGACAGGGCCTTCCTTGATATGCATTGTGTGTCGTAAACGCGCGTCGTAAATGAGCGTCGTAAATGCACGTCGTCTATAGACGACGTGTAAAAGCAGGTCGTCTCTCTTTATGACAGGGCCTTCCTTGACGCTCATTTGCGCGTTGTCTGAGCCTTTTACGATGCACAATGAGCATCGTAACAGGTTGTTTTTCTAGTAGTGCCTAACTCTAAGTCCACAATCAAACAAGATTAGGAAATGAAGCAAAGGTCACAGATTCTAAGTCTACAACGCCTTAGTCACATGTAACCGTGATGTATCCACTTAGCAACCATTGCCCTACTAGTACCGACCCTTTTAGTTATCACATATGTATTTAGTAGAATGAAGAATACTACTATAGTGTTCTTGTTCTAACGTTCTTATGGCAGTGTTGGTAAGTTTTTAGACTTGTTGCAACACCACAATCACTCTTAGGCACATGCTAGTCACTCCTAGGAAAATGTAGTTGATCAAGCTACATCCACCCACATGTGACTATATGTCTCTAAGCCTAATTGTGCTACTCAACAATTTTAATACTTTTGTTCTATCCTAGTATGATACCGACCCTTCGTATTTATGCATGTATATATATATATATATATATATATATATATATATATATATATACACTTAGTTAAATATTTTAGTAATTAAAAGTATATATTCTTGGTCAGAGTGTTTTAGTCCCGAAGTGTTTATAGTTCGTATATCTTTTATGGGTTGATATACTTGATTCACTATAAAGAATGCTCTGATACCAATCTATCACACTCCAAAACCGAGAACGGCGGAACACGTTCTGGGGTGGAGGACGTCATGTACAGTATCATAAAAGTTGCATAATAGTAAAAACAAACGACAACAACTATTGCATTAATACAGTAACTGTAAATACAAGTGTGTTCTGTAAAGTTTGATAGACACCAGAAATATAAACAAAAATAAAAGTTGGGTCTTGTATATGCTCCATCTTTTCAAAAGTTGCATCAGTACATGTCTATTTTTGACCAGAGAATACAAGTTATTTTGAAAATGAGTATCAGCATAAAGCTAGTGATTTCCTAAGAATTTAGTGTCGTTGCTTGTATAAAAGTGTTTAAAATCACGTAATATAAAAGTTTTGATTAATGTTTGAAAGTAGTAAAATCCCTAGAAAATCCTATATTTTTCACGATTTGAATTTTTGTAAGTTTGATCCTTTGAGTGTGTAAAAGTTTCCCATTGAGACTCTCAATTATAAAACTAAGGTTATAGATTTCATTCATGTAAAGTTGATGAGGAAAGATAATATCTTATTTCAGCAGGTTTACTGCCGGCTAGATATAATAGTGTTGCACGTTAGTAATATATATATATATATATATATATATATATATATATATATATATATATATATATATATATATATATATATATATATACATATATATATATATATATATATTTATATATATATATATATATATATATATACATATATATATATATATATATATATATATTCACTTCGGGTATGAATGTGATCTCTCGTATAACCAAACTGAGTGATAATAGAGTGTCCGATGACCTTCCCGGTCATACGTAGTGTAGCGATGTTTTGTCAACCCTAGGCCTAGTCAGCTCGGACTGTAGTTAGCAGTCAGGATGTAATAGTGTCTGTCCTGTATAGATCTATACATATAGTGTTTGTTTTCCTTCCGGGAAGCTCTGCTTACACGGTGTTCGCACAATAGGGTGTCGTATAGAGGAATAGTGTGTCACATTCTGGATTAGTCATTTCTCTTGTATTATAGTATAATGAACTTTATAGTATAGTGTATAGAGTGTTCTTCTTGCATAGTATTTAACATGTATTATCTCATAATATTAGTAATTATAGTGAACATCATAGTGATAGGAGTAATGAGTAGTAGTCTTAACTATACCTATTATAGTTAAATAGAGTGTAGGATTGCATGCTTTTGATTTACAAAGGTATTGAATTAATTGAAGACTTTCATATCTAACACAAATATATATGATATATAACTAATAATTTAACGACAGTCAGACAGATAGTAGTATACCCTAAGACCACAATCAAACAAGAACAGGAAGTAAAGTGAGCTATCAGTCCTAAGTCCTTCAAGTCTTACTTATATAAATATATTGGTGTAGATATAGTTTTAAAGAAAAGAATTTTAAAAAAAAACATTTTGAAAATAGTTTAATAACAATTTAACATAGAAAATGCGTTTGATAATTATTTAAAACAATTTTGTTGACAAGTAGCTAAAAGTATAGAAAATCCTTTTTGATTGCAAGTTACAAATCACATGCAATTGATACAATAGCTTGTTGTATTCAACTTGTATCCCCCCCATAAAACATTTAAAAACATTTGAAAGGTTAATTAATGGTTATGAACTCACCTACAGCGAGTGGATCGAATGGAAGTGTCGGTTGAGTGCTTCGCGTCAAGTGAAGACTTGAACACACTTTATGACCCTAGTAACATATGAAGACATATGTTTACATATAATTAGGGACTAAATCACTAATTAAACACGTATAGACATCCTAATGCGAAGAAAGACGCTTTGGTCAAGTGCTAGGAGGCTATTGGGTTGCAAGGAAGGAGTGTAAGGCCTCAGTATGGAGTTTACTCCTCAAATACTCACCTTAGGTGAGTTTGCGGTTGAGGGACCAATTCCCCGATGAGTTTACGGTCGTAAAATCATAAGAGGAGTGTATTTGTGTTCCTGATTGTCTCTTGTATCACTAGGAAGGGTTCTAAGATCAATTCCAAGGCTTGAGGAGTGATTAGGGTTCAAAAGGGGTACTCCCTTGGATTTTGCGGTCCTTGGACCACTCCTTGGGAATTTATAGACGTGAACACTGTGGTTTACGGCCGTAAACCCTTGGACGCATCCTTTCCTTCATTTTTGTGGTCCTAAGCTCACTCCTACACGTTTCTAGGTTAAGGTCCAAGGCTAAATAAGGGGTTTAGGGCTCATTTCGCATCATTTGAGGGAGTGTACGGCCTAAGAATGTTCCCGGGCCATAAACCCTCATTCAATCCTCCAACCTTCATGTTTTAAGGTCCAAAACATTTCAAGGTAATTTCTAAGCTAGTCTCTAAGCATAAGGAACGAATTTGGGGGAATTTTGGTACCCTTTTAGGGGTTTACGACCTAATGTTATTCGTCAAAAAGAAAGATGGTTCATTCCGAATGTGCATTGATTACAGAGAACTGAACAAGTTCACAATCAAGAATCGATATCCCCTCCCTAGAATAGATGACTTGTTCGATCAGTTGCAGGGCGCTTCCTACTTCTCAAAAATCGACCTTAAGTCAGGGTATCATCAGCTAAGAATTCACGAAGGGGACATTCACAAAACAGCATTTAGAACCCGTTATGGACATTATGCGTTCTTAGTCATGCCTTTTGGACCAACGAACGCACCCGCTGTATTCATGGATTTGATGAATATGGTCCGTAGACCATACTTAGACAAGTTTGTAATTGTATTTATCGATGACATACTTGTTTACTCGCGGACCAAAGAAGATCACAATAGACAACTGAAGCTAGTGTTGGAGCTGTTGAAGGAGCAGAAATTGTATGCCAAGTTCACTAAGTGTGAATTTTGGATTCGGGAAGTACATTTTCATGGTCATGTGATCGGCGAAAGAGGAATTCATGTAGATCCAGCTAGGATCGAGGCAATCAAGAAATGGGAAGCCCCCAAAACCCCAACAGAAATACGACAGTTCTTAGGATTAGCTGGGTACTACAGATGCTTCATTGAGAATTTCTCTAGGATTGCTCAACCATTAACATCTTTGACCCAAAAGGATAGAAAATTTCTCTAGGAAGAGAAACATGAAGAGGCGTTTCAAATCCTGAAAAACAAGTTGTGCAATGAACCAATTCT